CTAAAAATGAGATAAACTTGTTGTAAGAACATTCGAGCTTTGTGGAGAATTCTACAAAACTTCAAAAATAATCTCATAATTATATTTACTATCTGGTTACAAATGGAATACTGTGAAGTATTGAAAAATGGGTTAAAGGATATTATTGACTCTAAGAGCACAATCTGCTGGAACAAATTGCACATCTCTTGCAAATTTCACTACAAAAATTTTGACCTCTTCCGCTGACTATTGCATTTGATAAGCTTTTAATAAAAAATGTCGTTTCTGAAATATGATAGTGATCTTACCCTCAACATTAATAAACTATCGTCGATATCATCCTCAGATGTATCTTCTGATAAGACTTCTGTGACAACTATTCGAGCATTCGATCCTCTGCAAAAACAATCTCTTAAACAGCAAACAAATTAGAGAATTCGCTTTCTATGAACAATATTTTATAAAATTCAAATGATTAACTTCGAACCTTGAAAAAATATTGGCAAATTAAAAATGATGCGGTAACAATTATGAGCGCTGTAATAAGGTACACCTGTTATCTTAATACAAACTAAAGGATACAAATGACGACAATCTCTAAACTTCTCCAAAACAACATCACACTAAAAGGTTCTTATGATAGAACTTTTTTGTGAAGAGAAGAAACAAAGTCGACCTGGTTTTGCTATACCGCCCTGATAATCGTCGCTTCAGTAGCTTCTTCTCTGGAATTCGCTCCAGGTCATTGCAGTCCTCACTATTTCGTCGTTCTCCACGATGACCATTTGCGTACATCAAGCGGTTTTTAATTCGTGTCGCATGAATAGCCCTGCCACCAGAATACAGCATAATTTTCGACTAATAACCTTAGAATCGCATGGAATCTTAAACATAAGACATGAATTAGCAGTATATTGTGTAGCTATAAAGGATTAACGTAGTGGATGTGAAGGTAGGTGAGGCGGAAGGGCATTGAGATGCTCGATGATGTTAAAGTGCCACGTCTTAGTGCATTTTCTCCAAAGCTAGGTGAAGCTTAAGTAATAAAAAAAACTCTGCTAACAATCATTGTTTTCATTCTACTCTAACTCCAATCGCCTCATTTCTTTAAAGGCAGAAGACTTAGTCGCTGGAGCGATATCGCGGTCGTCAAGATTTGACAACAGCGATTAATCAAGGTTTTTCCGGAAACAATGCTCTCCCTGTTGTCCTCGAAATATGACGAAACAATGACTAAGATTTTTTTTAAAATAACAACCCGTCCCTTAGCAGAAATGCATTTGAAAAAGTTCTTCTTAATATAAGTCAAAAGTTGATTAGACGCCATCGGCACAACTGTTTCATCTTACTTCCGGACTAGGTGATTGTTTCAGGCAAGGAAAAGGTATTACGAGTGCAAACATGAAAGAATTAGATGTTCTATGTGGTGACAAGGGCAGCGTTCCTGGGGATTTTCTTGTTTCTGACACAAAATTCAGTTCATTCATAGCTTTGAAGCTTCACAATATTATGATTTGTCCAGCACGTGACTCAAGGCCCGAAGCTTCTAAAAATGACGATTCTCAACATATTCCTCTTTTGTGCATAAAAGCACTACCGTTTCGCCTATTGCGCATTCTCCAAGTAAGAAAAGAGTCCCTCAAATTATGTTTTTACTATACTTAAACAAAACAATTAAAGAGAAAAGTATAAAATTTGAGAAAAAAGGTTTCATCAATTAATTAAGTTTTAGTTGTGATATGCG